AACTTCCACCATCTCAAGCTCACAAAAATCACAGCAGTACCAGTGTGGTTTCACGGAATAAAATCACTATTTGAGAAGCCCCCTGGCAAATCTGAAGGACAGTGTTGTGACATCCTGTCTGGTGTGCTCCCCAACCCCCAAAACTCAGAGGCCTTCCAGAAGACTGGAAGCAAGTGCAAGGGAAACCTACTGTGTTAGCACCTTGTGTGCCTGCCACTAGTTTGTGCATACTACCCGTATTTGTCTAAATCGTTATAAACTAAATGAACACTTCTTGTATATCAAGACTCTTGTTCATCTACAAAGGCAGGGTCACAAAACTGTTGTACAAAAGTGTATCAGCTACAATCAATAAAACTCTGAAATTTATACCAGCTGAGAATCACACCATTTCTTTTAAGCACTCAGCTTTTCAAGTTAATACTTCTTTAAAACCCAAACTCTACAAGTTATAATAACTTTGTATCATTGATTTTCCTTTGTCACTGACCTGGGGACTTCTTTATATTCTCTTGATGGATTTTTTTTATACCAGCTCTCATAAAGAGATTTTCCTTCAAACCCCTCATCAGGACTTGGTATCTAGAAAAAGACATAGGGTACAATTTTAAATGTTACAAGCAACAAATAAACAACCTGTCATTGCCCTAAGCCCATGGCTTAGGACAATGACTAAGTCACGGTATTACATCCCTCAACCTTTCTGCATTTCCATTTTGACACTTCAAATGCACAGCATTTTCCAAAGGAATAGTTTATTTGCTAAAAAATAGGTAATTTTAGATGGAAGAAAACACAAGGAAAGGAAAACATTTCAACTCAATATTTACATTCTGATATTTCTTTATGAGAATTTTGGCCATTTAGTTTAAATATTCAACATAAAAATCCCTCACAAAACCAAACGTTTTGCTGTACTTTGGAAGGAAAATTTATTTTTTTCATGGTTTAATTCGGAGCTGTTTCTATCTTGTTTTAGTTCACAAAAATTATGTTTATGAATGCAGAAGCAACCTTAGAAAGGCAAAGCGTATGGTACCTGTTGTTTATGCCATCATAGCTGGAAAAGCTGGTAAACAAATCATGACCATCCTAAAGTTCATTCCTATCACTCTGACTACTTTACTAGCTTAAACACTGTGGGTGCTTTTTTTCATCTTTGCTTTATATTGATGAGCTGCTGAGGTTTTATTATCTTTACCCTAGTTATGATTATCAATATCTATTCTACTATTAATAGCTGTATCTACTATCTCAAAATGACTGCACAATAGGAAACAAAATAAAACTAATATGTTTGTCTTTTTGGTAGTGAAGCTAATCAATCATGGAACAGCATTATCAGCATTAAGACTGATTAACTTTGGATGGGATCACACTGGACCTGTTTCCTGATTAGCATCAGCTACCAACAAGCTGTGATTACATGCATTCATCAGCCTTTGTTGCTGCTTTCCAGCTCAAGAGAAGGTTACACAACCATTTTTACTGGTATTTAGGTCAACACCTTAACGATGACTCTTGGTGTCCAAACTGAGACTCTGCTGACCTGATTTTCTGACAGTTCTGAACACCTGCACTTAGCACAGGTTACCATGGGAACTGCAGGTGATCAGCACTTCTGCAGTTCAGTACAGAATTTTTTTTATCTGAACACCTAATTTTAAAAGTTACATTTTATTTGTTGTCCTTTAATTGCCAGAAAATTATTATACTGATTTTCTGCCCTTGCTTTTGTACCAGTCTAATGCCAGCTTCCAAGAGATTAGAATAAATTATTGAACCTGGAAAAAGACAGATGATTGAATATACAGAGCAGATGAAGGCAGATATAGTACATTCATAGAATATATACAGCAGTTGAATGTACATTAGATATATATATAGAAAACATACACAAAGACTAATTAAATATTCATTCTTTGGTAAATTTGAACAAAAGAAAAAGCCCAGAAATTAAATGGCAGCCTCTAAGAACCACTCTGAAAGCAATGAACATCTTACATCTAAGATGGTGAGGCTAAATAGTAGTACTGAGGGACCTCAGTAAGGTCCCTACCTACCTCTTAATTTTGTGTGCCACACAGGATGTGTGAAACCATTGTGGTCAGAGCCAATCCATAACTGGGTACACTGAAGCTAAGCACATTGACCAAACCTGTCACATGACACTAAAAACAACACTGTAGCAAGCCTAATTTCTTCCCCTGCCTAAAGGGAGTCGGAGTCTCCCACAGGCACCCTAGTAGTTGATATGGGCAGCCAGGTTTGTGCTTGTTTCTGTCCTCTGGTTCACAGCATTTTTTTAATTTTTTTGTTCTTAGAGAAGGAATGCTTTCACAGGAGGAGCAGAAAAATCCTCTAATCCTAAACAGCCAATAATTTAAACATACAAGCTTGAATTCCCCTTGCCCCTCCTGGGAAAAAGCTCCAGTTACTTAGCTACTGACCTGAAAGGGGTAATGCAGACGGAAAAGAAAGAAACATCTGACACTGTATGTTATAGACAGAGCCCCATTGAATAAGTGAGCACTGAACATGCTGGCTAAAAGTTTCAAATTATATTACCTCTTTAGTCAGACTGTACACCAGACTGTACATCAGTGGTGTGCAATCCACTCGTAGTGTGTAGTTTCCTGAAAAACAAGAAAAACTATTCATTTGAAGAAGAAAGTTCCACTCAGCTCAAACCTCATGCCATCATTTGTTAGTAAGAGAGTTACACTCTTTATGAGGAGCAAGCTGAGAAAAGTCTTCCTGTGACCTCATCAGTGAATTTACATTGGTTAGGATGAATTACAGCCCAGCTTTTGAAGCAACTCCTAAAAGCTTTTCTTATGCCCCTATGATTATTATGCATAAGTGAAGCCAACTCTAAAGAGTGGTCATAGAACTCAAGGGTACAACACTTCTTGTCCCTCCCCATGACTTCCCAAATAGTGCAGCTATCATAAGGTACCTCTTCCCTGAAACAACAGGAATACCTGAAGAATACTTTGATTCTAGGTCACTGTTTCTCCCCATGTCCACTTCTGAATTAATGCAACAAAATTATCACATTGAAGGTCTCATGTATCTCCAAGCCAAAATCCCTCCCAGTCATACCATCACTATTCCTATAAACCAGGAAAAACCATGGTCAAAACCATGTACCTTCGATGGACGAATCTGCATTGATATAAGCCACTCCCCGTGCTTGCAATACTTTGGCATTTTCCTATGAGAAAGAAGAGGAAGAAAATGCCAATGAACCTTTTCCCCCTCCCCCAGATCTATTTTCCCATTCACATAAGAAACAGCTGTTTCAGAGAAATCATATACTGCAAGGAGCCATATATTCTTGGCAGTTCAAAAAGAAACTTAAGAGAGAGAGAGAGAGAGAGAATGCATGCATAAGGAAGAGAGGGGGAGGGAGGGAAGGGAGGCAGGGAGGGAAGAAGTTTTGCTTTCTAGTACAGATTTCTCAAAGAGCAGCAACCATGCAAATTTCTTTTTGAACACCACTGGTTTACCTCAGCCCACTCTGTTGATCCAAACAAGCCAAATTCCTCTGCATCCCAGCTTGCAAATATCACTGTTCTCGTTGGCCTCCATCCTGCAATGAATAAATAAAGGCTGCTTGTTACATAGTAACTAATGTGAAAACAAATGTCTTTGGGGGGGCTCAATTTTTATTGTAATCTGTGGCAAAAGAGATGTGTTTAAGAAACTTTAACACCAACTTCTTCACTAACCTAATCTAACAATGATTTATTACTGTAGCAATCTCGCTTCTACTTCAATATTGTGCCAAATAATGTATTCCTTTTTGTCTCTCACTACAATTGTAAGATGATTTTCTAAAATTTAAAACTCTGATCAAGAAAAAATAACGTGCTTGTGCACAAATTCTTAAAAGAAAGCTTTTCTACTCTTTTTGCTCTGTTCAATTTAGCACTTCAGTTTAGTATACCAGGGCCTGTTTTGACAGAAAAGTGGCATGTTTTCGTAACTATTACTGAATTTCTTTGACCTGTCTTCCAAATGCCAGATTTTGAAACCTAAGGAATTCCATGCAACTTTGACAGATCATCTTCAAAAGAAAAATCTTTCACTTGAAGTTCAGCATTTGATTTAAACCCAGGCCAAAAGGAACTGGCTCTATTGTGCTGCCTCTCCATCTCAGCCCAAGTTTTCTTTGAGGCTACTGGAAGCTTTTCATCTTTCACTCCCTTTCTTTTTTACCCTTTTATTTTTTTTCCAGTTTGCATTCCAAAGACAGTTTCCCCTGATACCCAATAACTGGGAGGAAATGGAAAGAAAACTGCATGTCAATAGGTTTTAAGTGTAATGGGTAGCAAAGAACACTTCTCTAGCATGGTATTTGAGTTATGTTAGAGCTTCTTTCTGTGGGATGTCAGATAAGGAGAGAGCTCTCGCACTGACAGGAGCAGAAACTTGGTGCAGTTGACATTTGTTCCTATTCTAATGTAACTAGGGATGAGGTATTTTTACCCATTACCTCCTACTATGTTTGCACAGCTCATTCTCTGCATTACACAGACATTTATTTATTTTTGAGTCTGTCTCCAAGCCACAGTCAAGTGCTGAGAAAGTTCCCAGTGTTGCCCTGATGAAGCCTTTATCAGTCCACCATTGCATCGGTTTTATAGGACCATAGAAACATCCAGTGTGACTAGCCTCAAATACACAGCAATTAATTGTACCTAAATGTGCTTATTTCAGCAGCCCCCATTTTGTGTTTTGTTTCCCTTTAGCTGTACTCTCTCTTGAGCAGAAGTACCTCACGTAGACCAAGGTTGTAACTGGAACTAGATAACATCTGCTGAGCAGTGTGTTTATTTGAGACATCAGTGAGATACAAATGTTTAATTTTAAGCATATGTTTAAATCCCAGAGAAATCAATGGGCACTGCTGAGAGCAGTTACTTTGATGTGCTTTATTGCTTCATTACATTACCTTTCTTTTTCAGGTTTCCAAAGCTCCTCACAATCTCATGTACCACAGCTGCCCCACTCTGAGGATCAATGCCACCAAATACCCATGAGTCGCGGTGGCCTCCCAGGATGACATATCTATCTAAAGAAATTAATTTTGGAGGTTTAAATAGGAAAAGCTTTTTTTCCCTGCCATAGAGATGTTAATTTGAAGTGATTTTCCATGTATGTACCAGGCAAGAGTGATTAGTAGTTTATAATATACATGATAGAAAGGCAAAGGTATTTTACATCTCCAAAGACATTTTTCTGTACTTTCAGTTATTGCTAAAGAATTTGTCAAACACAGTAAGTGGATCCCCTAAGAGTTAAAAACTCTTGAATGCTTAAATTTTAGGGTTACTTCTATCATTAGAAATACTGTAGCTTTCATCCAAAGACAGAAGCATCTTTCCATATTTTAAAATAGTGTGTCTCATGGAAAAGCTGATCCACTAATTATACCTGTACAGCACACAAATTCACAACATTAAGGTGTGCTTAATGCAATACTCCTCTGAATATATATCATCAGTCATCAAAAGGGTTGTCCAAATCATGAGAGATGTGTTTTTAAGATCAATGTCAAACTAGATCTCTGTGCTACTATAATATGGTTCACAGTTGTGTTTCAGGCAAAAGGAAAGTGCTGCAGTTCCAAGACAAATGATGTTATCGTCATCCTAGGGATGTCTATATATCTGCTTTTTTACAGAATAAAATCACATGGGTTACAAGAAATACTAAGACAGACAGAAAGTCAGTCGTGGTGGATACGTCTTCAAATGGAATGCAAAACCCATTTCCATGTTTAGTGGAGAAGAATATCCACATAAGAATATTCTTTCAATTGCAAAGTTACTCGCCTGAAGACAAATATTTCTGTCTTGGTTATGACTCCCCCTTGAAAATCAGTATTTACAGTGAAAGTGCTGACATACCCTGAACCATATGAATGCTGGTGCAATAAATATTTCAACACCAAAGGTCATGTAGTGCAACATTTCAGAGAAAACTATATTCCTCATGTCTCCCTTGTAACTATGAAGCACATGTAGAGGTCACTGCTTGCTCACATTATGCTGAAGACAAATGATTTTACCTGGTTCCACTGTGCCTCTGATGGTACCAATCACATTGTAAATCCTTCTTATTTCATTGTTGCTATGAATGTGCATTCTCACCTTTCTAGCGTATTGGGAAGAAAATACAAAGAGAAAATCCACCAGATTAGACAATAAAACTTCTTGACACCTATCCAAATGTACAACACAAATGATAAGGAAAGCATTTTGGCCAAATTTTCCCTCAATCAAACTGAAGTAAATCTGAATTTATTTCAGTATAGGTTTTTTCTGGATTTATGCTCGTGCAAATGAAAACAGCTTTTAGCCCTTGACAGCTATGTAATGTTTCTGTTGTTAGTAAGATTTATATGGAAAACAGGATCAGAACTCCAAATTTAAAGACGTTTTGCTAGCTGCTAGTTTTGTAATTTGGAGGAGTGAAGGAAAAAGAAAAACACCTAATGTTAAAAAGGTAAATAGTTCTAATATTCTAGAGGCTGATGCAAATCAGAACTGACTCCATGTCATGGTTCAACCCCAGCAACTAAGCTCCACACAGTCACTTGCTCACTCCCCCATCAGTGGGATTGGGGAGAGAAATGAAAGAGTAAATATAGAAAACTAATGGGTTGAGATAAAGACAATTTAATAAAGCCACACACAACCAAAGCAAAACAAGGAATTAGTTCAGTGCTTCCCATGGGCAGGCAGGTGTTCAGCCAGCTCACCAGAGCAGAGCCCCATCACAATGGTGATCTGGGAAGAGAAACACCATCACTCAAAATGTCCCTCCCTCCTTCTTCCTCCCACTTTATATACTGAGCATGATGTCACATGCTATGGTCAGTTTAGGTCACCTGTCCGGGCTGTGTCTCCTCCCAGTCTCCCATGCACCCCCAGTCTCTTTGCCAGTGTAGCAGTACGAAAAGCAGAAAAGGCCTTGGCTCAGTGTAAGCTCAGCAATGACAAAAATATCACTGTATTATCAACCCTGTGTTCAGCAACCTGAGTTGCATCAAGAGACTTTATCAACAACATCAAGAGTTGTTTATCTGTAACACAGCTGGAAGTGCAACAACTCATCCTCAAGGGTTCATATGAAGTTCAGTATGAAGAAATAGTCATATGAAGTTAAACAGTTCATGTGAAGTCAGTACAACAGCTCAGACAATACTGAAACACCTGAATTCTAGTCCTAAGCTGTAATTACTAATTTGGTTTAAAAACAATCAGAAGCAATAAAAATGACATTGTAGTTTAGGCTTTTATTCCAATTTGGTTTAAAAACAATCAGAAGCAAAAAAAATGACATTGTAGTTTAAGCTTTTATTCTGGAAAACTTGACTTGTAGGTTAAGACTGTCTTATGTAACACAATAGGTAAGAACCTAGACTTAAATGAATTTAAAAAAGAAAGCAAACACATGCAGTTCTCAAAAAAAAATCCGTTTCAACAAATAGTTTGTCAAAGTTCAAGACTAGCTGGAAACTAGAGCAAGTCAGTCATATCCATCCAATCAAGACGTAAATCTACTCAAACTTTGCACTGAGTGTATTTCAGCCAAGGAAATGGTCAGAATCAAAGGAATTATGCAAATAAACCCAACTACTCTATCTTTGGCCAAATTCTATTGCTCTACCTGTTTTTCCTCTGATACCAAGTACACTTTCCTTATGAAACAAAACTGACCTTGTAGAATAATGTGTTGTGAAACCAGGACCAACATTGTAAGACACATTCAAATTTCCTTTCCAGCTACTATCAGGTGGTGCATGTCCTCCCATATTACTACAATGAAAAAAAAATCAGTATTAGTAATAGACATCTTAAAACAGCACCAAACACAAATAAGGAACCAGAAACCACTTTGTTAGGTCTCATGCACGCACAAAAGACTGTGACGGTCTTTGTTTTAATCAATTTATACTATGAGCTTTGGCACGAGAATAATCTGGGGCTTTAGCTACATTAATGCTAGTAAATTAACACAGAGGAATAATACTGGGCAGAGAGATCAGCTTGGAATGGCCTACAACTATCCTGGAAAAGAGTGTTGGCCTCCAAAGGTTTTGCATACAAACTGTACATGGTCCATGGAACATTCTAGTGCCTTGAACAGCATTTGCATTTGAAATAGCAGAGAGAAACTTGGGGCATTCTAACAGATAACAGCATAGGCGGTTGTCTTCCAGTGCCTGTCCCTGGACTCTGCTTAATATGGTAGCATAGACAGAGTTAATGTGTGTTGAAGATGTCTAAAATTGGAGAAACATGATCACTCCACGTCGCCTTTTCTTGTTCCATTGTCATAACATTTTTCTTGCTAACACAACTGGAAATGCAGTAATTCAGTGGACCACAATCACCCAGACCTATTCACCTAAAGGACTTATATTTCTGACATGAACTCGTAAGAAACAAACAAAAAAAAACCCACAAAAAAAAACCATAAAAAGTGTGCTAGATCCTTCTTAGGAAGCAAAATATATTTATTGTAAATGAAAGCATGTCTTTAATTGTAAATGCATACTTCAGTCAAGCCTTATTCCACAGAACACTTCAGCATGTCTACAATTCCTTTGCAAATTTTTCATATAAAAATATGATAGCAGAAATAACAAGAAGCTAGGACTTCTCAAGACAAATGCAAAAACAAGGACCCAGTATTTTGAAAGGATTTAGATGTCATTCTTAATTATTAAAAATAAATTCTAGAATTATTTACAAGTTATCGAAGAGAAATATCTAGCTACATCATATTGACACATATTAATCTGCTCTGCCACTACTAGTTGGCAATGGACAAGAGTTTTTTTTTACTTATACCTTTATCATTATGAACAGTTATCCTGATAACCGTGATGACTGTAAAGTTTAAAGGAAATAAAGTCTGGAGATATATTAGTCCATAAAATTTTGGCAGGAAACAGGAAAACCATTAGAACAGTGTTAATGAACATCAAGTATGCAGAAACACCAAAGACAGTAAAATCCTGTCTCACATCAAAATATATAGCTTCAGTACTTCAGGGTAATTTGCATAGAGAACCAAGATTATCTTTTTTTTCTTGACTCAGTGTTCAAGTAAGTCTGGAGATATATTAGTCCATAAAATTTTGGCAGGAAACAGGAAAACCATTAGAACAGTGTTAATGAACATCAAGTATGCAGAAACACCAAAGACAGTAAAATCCTGTCTCACATCAAAATATATAGCTTCAGTACTTCAGGGTAATTTGCATAGAGAACCAAGATTATCTTTTTTTTCTTGACTCAGTGTTCAAGTCATCAGATTTTTTTTTTTCTTGACTCAGTGTTCAAGCAGCAGCATCAGACAGAGCAGAATGATTGCTCATGTGATTTAGGTGTAAAATTCCTATACAAACACATAGCCAAGATTATGTTCACTTATTGCCCAAAATGCTTATCTATCATACTGTTGCCAACCCTGGCTTTCCTGCTCTCCTTCTCTACCGTTCATACAGATGATTACTGCTACATTTTTTAGGGGAATGATTCACTTGCCAACTCAGTCAAGTCTTACTTTTTTTAGAGAACATATTTGGCTTGTTAAAACAATTATGAATTTTAATGCTGTCCCATGGCAAGCTGGTAGCCTGTCTCCATGCCACTTGCTTAGTAAGCACACTTCCTTACATGTAGATGTCTATTAAATCCCCTATTATACTCAGTGTCCTTATACTAGTTTACTACCATCATTTCATATCTAAAGCACATAAAGCACTTAATTAGAGAAAGCAGACACCTTCATTAAATAGAGGACAGTACAGATACTGTCCCATCAAACATTCACGGCAAGTACTTTCCTGGACAAATGAATGACTTCATTTGTGGTCTTTTTCACAAGACAGGTATCATTCCGGCTGCAAAAATATTTGTCTTTATTCAAACTGAGAGGTACTTTGTAACTCCAGTATACTGGACTGACCATGATATATTACAAATGGTCCTTTTCAGATCACTCTACATGTATCTGATTTGTAGCAATAGATTACACATTTACCTCCTACAGAGAACCTAATGAGAAACAAACATTTTTTCAACAGCTACAAGAGAAGCACAGTGCAAAAGTCTCTTTCCCCTTTTCACTCATGTAGCTTTCAAAAAGCAGTCTGCTTAAAATTCCTCAGGGTTCCCATACACTTACCGCAGTAATGACTCAGCATCATGATAGCCAATAGGATGAACTGGAATTTTTGGGAGACCTACACCATTGGCTTTGTCTAATCGGTAGGTATATTCTGGAAGCAAAAGACAGATAATTTCATATTTACAACTCTCAGAAGGAATCTGTACTCTGGGGTCAGGGATAATCATTTCACTTTCCTGGAAGCTGGGCTGGCATCTTTTAAGAAATTTCATTCTTTGTGCTTTAACAACATGTTTTCAGAGAGACACTAATGAATGCTCCTGGACAGTGTCTGCAGTCATCCATTTAAAGCTGGCTGGGAAAGAAGATCAGCCTAAGCCACAGATAAAGAACAAGAGTAAAGAGGGAGCCTACAGTCTGATGCTTGGAACACTGAGCTGGGAACTAAAAAAAATTTTGCCAGTTGATAAGAGATGGAGATAAAATATTAAACACTGGACTACTGAATATTCTGTTTTGCTGTCTTTGTGACAAAAATGAAACCTAGGTTTTCTTCTGACAGAGCTCAAATACAAATCATGGGGGTTTTTTACAAATGAGAATCTTAATTTTCACAATGTGGACAAAAGCATATCAGGAAAAGAATAGTTTCCTCCTTAATACAACACTCACAGGAACCCGCTCTGAGGGAAATCTGTGGCATCACTGGCTCTACCATGAAGAACCAGAAGTCATCCCCATGGTCTGCTCTGTCATGCTGCTGTTCTGAAGATGTATCTCCTTCCAGCTCAAGTTCTGCTGGCTAGAGCCATCACTTAGAGACTACTTTTCTTGAGGTGACTACCTCCCTCAGATATGCTGGCTCAAGTGCTAGCATGAATGGTTCTTCATGAATTGCAGTCAAAATGATCTGGTTTAGATGATAAATGAAACAGCTTGGGCAGAGCTCAAGAAGTTGAGGAAGCGTAAGGTGAAGGTGATGAACAGAGGTGAGTGGTTCCCCCTAACATCTCCTCACTTTCTCTCATGCCCCATTTATGGAAGTGGCCTACTGACATGAAACCCAAAGCTGCCTCTTTTGAGCAACAAAGACAAGAAAAAAGTGTTTTGTTCCAAGGAAAAGATCATCCCCCATACCCC